GAATTGCCCCGCCCTTGTCGGTCCGGGCTAAGCAAGCTGCTCGGGTTTGATCTCAGGAGCTTTTGTTCCCTGCAAGCTCTCGGTACAGCCTTGGAGGACCAGGGCAAAAATGGTGGCCTCCCAATCTCCACCCGGAGGAGCTGAGAATTCGGGGCCCCGCTCCTCAGTGTGCCCCCAGAGAAAAGCAGTCACTCCCGTGTCCCCGGTCGCTCTCCGCGCTCACCTGGCCTGTGACCGAGCGTTGCTATCTCTGGCACCCGACCCCGTGTGGAGTCTCCAAACCCAGCAGATCCCTGCGGTGCGTTCCTGCGCCGCTCCTCCCCGGGAAGGAAGGGGAGTCTCCCCTGCTCTGCCTCTTGTTGGGTCCCTGCTGGAGGAGCAGTGGCCCGACTGGGCCGCGGATCACAGTTTATGGCAACCCCGAGCTGAGAGCCCGCACCTCAGCTCCGTCTCTGCAGCTGGCTTCCCCGCTCCAATACCTGGGAGCTCTGGCGCACTCAGGCACCCCTGGTCTTTCTGTGACCCCAAGGGTCCCGAGACCACACTCTCCCGGGAGGATTCCACCCTCTGCTTAGCCACTGCAGCGACGTCCCTCAGCAGAGCCGACTTCTAACAGTTCCGATTTTGTGCTCCGCGGCTCTAGCACTTGCCAGAAGCTGCCGACGGAGGCCCCCTCCCCCGCCGTCTATCCTCCCGAATATCGCCTCAGATTCACTTCTCCGCATGTCCTACCTTCCCGTAAGTGGTCGCTTCTCTGTTCAGATAGTTGTTGCTACTCTCCTCTTTGATCTCCTGTTGAGTTCGTAGGTGTTCAGAATGGTTTGATCCCTATTCAGCTGAATTCCTGAGACCAGACGAAATCTAGGTCTCCTACTCCTCCGCCATCTTGCTCCGCCCTAAAGGCAGATGCTTAAGCAACTGAACCACCCAGGTGCCTGCATTAGAAAATTTATTAAGGCGGGGCACCTGGCTGGTTCAGTCCGTAGAGCATACGACTCTTGATCTCAGGGTTTTAAGTTCAAGCCCCATGTTGGGTGTAGAGATTACTTAAAAAAATAAAATCTTAGGGGTCTCTGAGTGACTCAGTCAGTTAAGTATCTGCCTTCTGCTCAGGTCATGATCTCCGGGTCCCTTGTTGGGCTCCTTGCTCAGTGGGGATTCTGTTTCTCCCTCTCCCTTTGCCACTCCCCCTGCTTGTGCACTTTCTCTCTGTCAAATAAATAAAATCTAAAAAAAAAAAAAAAAGAAACCAAAATATATTTATTTTTTTAAGAATTTATTTATTTATTTGAGAGAGTGATTAAGAGGCAGAGGGAGAAGTAGACTCCCAACTGAGCAGGGAGCCTGGTGCAGGGCTCGATCCCAGAACCCTGAGATCATGACCTGAGCCAAAATCAGACACAACCCACTGAGCCACCTAGGCGCCCCTAAACCATCTTAAAAGAAAATTTATTGAGGATTATTTCCTGAACAACAAAAAAAGAAAAAAAACCAAATCCTTAACTCCATTTCACATTTGATCTTCACTCTGATCATGTTATAAATTAGATGGGGCAGGCATATTTATTATCCTTAAATCCAAATCCAGCGTGGGGAAGCTGCGTCTCCAGAGAAGTTAAGTCCAAATTCACCCAGCTAAATAAAACATGACAAACCAAACTAAAGGGCCAATTTTCTACCCATCCCACTATTCCTTCTATTACAGTCAATCACACTGATTTGTGTTAACCTGGAGCTTAGAGCAATTGGGACACTACATTTTTCTGACACATGAAAAAGAGTGATTTTGTATTTGTGATGAGTGCAAAATTATTTGTTGGTTATTTTTACATATTCTCCAAACTTCTGATTTTTTTCCCACCAAAACTTCAAAAGATTTGGAATTTACACGTTTGTTCAGGCATAATATCTGTCCTAGGGGGGCTAACCATCCAGTTAGGGACACAAGGCATGGAACTGGAGTGACCAGGCAGATCCTGGGGAATGACAAGCCCACATGTCCCAATCATACTACAAGACACATGGTCGGGCAAAGGATTTTCTTTCTCACTTGTAAATGTAATTATTTGAAAAGTTCTACCCATGCACACAGACTATTTAAACATTTAACAGATTACCTTTGGGGAGGAGAATCCCTTTACATAGTAACATCAGGACTCTCCTGGGAATACTGGGACACCCTGGGGGTTCCAAGCTTAGAAAGGGAGTGGAATTCTAGCTCCACTCTAAAGGACGGGCGGTTTGGAAGGGCAGGGACCAGGGGGGCGGATCCTGGGGAAAGACCAAGGACCCAAACTCAGAAAGGAAGACATCTGTGTATGGCTAGTGAGGAGTCAAGGTGAGATGAGGTGGGTTAGGGAAACATGGCCCTTACATGGAAGCTCAAGGAGTCTGGGCTTGAGGCCGCTACAAGTTTCTGGACAGAGGGGGGCCATGAAGAAGCAGGGAAGGTCCGGCGGGCAGCAGCACCGGGACTCACAGAGAGACCAGAGCCTTGGCACCAAGGAGTCTCTTTTGGCAACCCAGCCTATGTGGTCCACGGGCTGCTGCTTGGGGGGCATCTGGTCCCTGTCCTCCCCAGATGCTGCCTCACCGCTAGGAGGGGGGACCAGTGCTGGAGTCCCGTAAGGAGGCGGTGGAGGAAGCCCACCTCAGCAGTCCGGTCCTCCTTAGGAGCTCCTCTTGGGCCCTGGCCCCCACTGCTCCTGGCCCCGGCCTGGGGGTGCAGATCATCCAGCGGGACGGGCTTCCGGGCCCGCGTCCTCACGGCGGCGGGGTCCGCCTTCCCCGCTGCACCCCCTCGCGTTCGAGAGGAAACTGAGGCCCCGAACAGGGCGGTCTGGACGGGGGACGAGAGGATGGGGGAACCTGGCCCCTGGCCGATCTTGGCCTCGTCCCACAAGCCGGCTTCTCAGCACATACGGCTATGCCAGAGGAAGGTTAGTTACGGCAAACCTGCGGACACACCGCCGGGGGAGGAGAGGAACCCAGTCCCCGCCAAGCCCCGCCCGCGCGAGCCCGCCCCGCGCATGCGCCTCCACTAGGGGCCCGCCCCCACCTCCAGAGCTGCGCGCTCCCGAGTCACGCGCTGAGGCTCGAGCATGCGCAGGCGCACGGCGGCGCTTCCTGGGAAGAGGTGCTCCGCGAGGCGGTGTGCGCGGTGACTCAGCGCAGAGGTCCTCCTCCGCTCCCGGTCTTCGGGCTTTGCTCTCCTTGGGCCCGAGCCGTCCTGTGCGCTCTTCGGCCCCTGGAAGCCCTGAGTGTCTCGGAAGTTTTGATTTGGAACCGGGAAAGGCTTTGAAGTTGCTCAGAGTTATGGGGAGAGACCACCGGTTTCCGGAGGCCTTTGGGGGAAGTGAAGAACGTCAGAGAGATTGGTGTTGGCAGTTTTCAGGTTGCGGTTTGCACCTGCGGCCAGCCCAGGGACTGAGATTTGAAGAGATTGTCTCACCTCCCTTACCCCGCCAGAAACTCAGAGCATTTGGTATCCAAACTGCCCTTTCCTCCTGTCCTTGAGGATTAGAAACCCAGTCCTCCCTTGGCACTTTGCGCTATCTCTGGGTGAGGGTGGATTGGGGCAGGTGAAACTCCAGATTTGGTGGGGGGGGGGGGGGGCGACGCTCGGGAGGGTGATATTCTCATTGGAATGTCTTTCTCATGGATCTTGGGGTTCCCTGAGTCACTTTTAGAAGCCAAAACGGACTCCAGAGATTCTCTACTATCCCTTCAACTGGTCCTTAGCCTCTCTTTGAAACGTGTCCCGTGATTGGGATCTCAGTTCAGGGTTTTCTGACCGGATGCTGGTTTGGGTGGCTCCCTCTGCCCTAGATACCATTTGTGAGAGGCCATGTCCCTCCGCAGCCCTGTGGAGAATGCTCACGGGCAGTGTGTACCTGCTCCTCTGCTTGGCCCCCTGGGCATACCAGAACCTGGGAGGGGGCCCCTGTGGCTACATCAGGGTTGGCCAGTTGGTTACTTGTAATTTCCTGGGTTTTCTTGGCTGTTGCTTTGGAGTGGAGACCATTTGGGCACCTGGTTCCCAGGGAATCTGGGAGGAAAAGGGAAGTCCTTGGAAAGACGTGAGGTGCCCCCTGGGCAAGAATGAGTTGGGTTGGGGCTTAGCTGGCTAACCTGCCCTCCGCACCAGGAAGCCTTATTCCCTTATGTGCATCCCTTTTCTGGGTTTAACTTCACAGAGCAGCCAGTAGTGGTAGGGAATTGTAGCTCCAGAGAGCCATGTGGCCCCATCTGTTCTTTTTACAGATGAAGAAGCTGGACACCTAGTAAAGCAAAGAGCATTCAGGGTCACAGAATCAGCTGTGGCAGAGATGGGACACAGGTCTCCTGATTCCCAGGCCTGTTCTCACTCTCCTGCACCATGTATGTTAGGGGCCAGCACAAAACAAATGGCACATTTCGAATGGGTAATTTGAGGCAGGGTGTGGGAAACAACTCTGGACAGTGAAATGTTCTGGAGCTAGTAACAGTGGGGTCTTAAACACCTGGAGGCAGAGAGGCCGTGTAGAGAGTCATCTTACTAGAGTTGGGACTTCAGGTCAAGGGGCTTAGGATGGCAGTTGGGGGAATAAAACCCCCACTGATTTGTCAAGGCTCTTCATGGACCAAACCCAGTGGGAAGTCAGAGGTCAAGGGAGTGTTGATTAGCCCATGCAGATTAATTCTAGGGCACAATACAGGTGGAAAGGATGCAAAAAGGACCTGGAGGAGCAAATAAAAGACATCCAGCATAAACTGCAACCTTACTTCTACTGGTTTATTAAGAGTTTACAAGTCTTGAGTACTTAATCTGTGTGAGGTATGTCCATTATCCCGTGCATTTTCTCTAAACTCCGTTTTCTCCATTTGACAGGTAAGGAAACTGACTAGTGAAACAACTTGAGGAATGGAGATGTGAACAGCTAAGCTGCCACCTGCCTCTCCGGGATCGTATCTTGTGTATGGTGCTTCCTCTGTGGACGTTTGTGCAATGGATGGATGAATGAATGAATGAGGAGCAAACACACATAGGATTAGATGGTGCATCTCCCTGAAGATCCTTAGTGTGTCTATTCTCCATGGGACCGGAGGCTCTCTGCAAAGGTGGGTCCCGTGTCTGTTGGTATCTCTGTTGCCAGCTTGTAATGAGCCAGGTATTCAGGTTAAAAGAGCAGGTATCTAGATCTGAAAAAAACCTTGGACTTCTGGGCTTTCCTAGTGGAAGCCCTTGTAAGTAAGCAGTTTTCTCTCTCTGAAGCCATCCCGATCCAGTCCTGATTTCTGGTGCCCCCATCTGGGCAGGGGTCCAGGGTGCTGCCTCAGCTCCTACCCATTGCTCCACCCACAAGCTCAGTTCTGCTAACTGCATCGCTGGTGCTGCTCTTGGAACACGGCGTTCTTCAGGGATAAACTAGCTACCAGTGGGGTGGGGACTTTTACCAGCATCCCTAAAATGGCCTGCTGTGGAGCAGAAAGCTCAGCGTAAAGATATTGTTTCCTTTCTCTGTTGTCCCTCTTCCTGCACCATCTCCTGTCTTTACAGTCCCCTTTCCTTGGTCTCTTTCTTCCTAGAGAGCCCCACCCAGTCTTGCACTTGTCGCTCGCTCATTGTCCCAGCTCCTCAAGCACGGAGGAGGAAGCTAACATAGATTGATCACCTTCTGTGTGCCTGCCACTATGCCCCACGGGTGCTCTCCATCATCCCATTTCATTTCTTAGTGAGACACTAGGTAGGGAGTGCTAGGGAGGGGCCTTGCAGATGGAAAACCAAGACTTTGGGTGGGTAACCAAACCCAGCTGTTCAGGGTAGAGCTGGCATTTGACTTCTGGTCTGATTCCAAGGCCATCCTGGTATACTTCTCACCCAGAATAAAGCCTGCTGCTGCACTATTTGGGTTCGTGTTGACCCTTGCTCTTTGGAGACTTTTCCCTGTGCTGTGGCCTGCGTCCCTGGACTTGGGCATGTCGAATGTGCTGTTTCAGCCCACCCTGGTGGGTTTCCGTATGGATCTGACTAACGTTTGATTCCATCCACAGTCTGTGTGTCCTCCTTCAGTCCTTTGCTGATGACGCCTCCTCCACATGGTAGGCCAGTTGACCTGTTTCTGAATGGCAACATGCAACCCATTCTCTAAAGCCCACAGATGTGCCACCTCCCTGATGATGTCCCTCCAAATTCATTCACCTCTAGATTCCCAGACTCACCTTGTGAGCCTCCCCTAAAGGACTGAACGCATTATTTCCTGTATTTACAGTACTTCAGATATGCAACTTATTTACTTTGTTGAGGGCAGGGACTATCCTGCAACAGTGTTCATTTCTCCAACTTCTCACAGAGGACCTTACAGCTTAGTAAGCCACCAGGGGGTGAAGGTGTCAAGGGAGCTCTTTGTAGTGAAAGGGGTTTGTAAAATGAAGATTTATCCCTTGACTTTACATGCTGACTTTGCTTAAAACAAGAGTCAACTGCAGGATAAATGTCTGGGTTGAGTCTGGAGGATGGGCGGTGGAGGACAGCTTGTGTTTTTCTTGAGGAACTTTGAATTTGGGGAAATGAAGAGATGATGAGGGCAGGCAGTGGATAACAGGCTGGGCAGGTGGATGGCCCTACACATCTGTCTGTCCAGATGGGATCTCAAGAGTGGTTAGCTGTGTCCCTTGACCTTTATCATGGGCTGCAGCTTCTCTAAGGCCATCCCCTGTGCTCCCTGAGTCCCTTTATGTTTGCTGTCATAGATAAAGGCCGTCATGCCTGCTTTCACCACCAAGGGTGGGGGAGTCCTTGGCCAGAACAGCAGCACCCCCTCCCTGGGACTTGAGTTGGCTCAGAGCACCCATATCCCACGTGACCCAAGATAGACAGATGCTGGGGCCCTACAGCAGAGAACGGGTGTGGGCCGGCATGACTCACCTGCTCTGTCGCCGCCTACAGCTGGGTTTGAAGCACTTGGGGATCAGATCTCTTCCCTAGGAGAGGCATGCAAGGCTCTCTTTGTAGTTAGCAGCTTGGGGTCCTGCTCATGCAAATGCCTGTCGCTGTCCTGGCATCTCAAGGTCCAGATGAGTGGGGAGTCATCCAGTTGCAGGGGCACAGGAACAGGTAGAAGCAGCAGCTGAGAAAACAGTGCCTTGATCTGGGCATCAGACAACCTCGGTAGTAACCGGGCCCCGCCAGGAGCTCACTGTGCAGCTCTGAAGGAAAGGGGTTTGTTGTTTCAGGAAACATGTTTTTGACCACCTACTCCTGCTGAGTGAAGTAAGGACAAGGGGGACCACGAGAAGGCAAAACCTATCCCTACCCTTGGTGGTTTCTCAGTCTCTATAAAATCAGCTCGACTCAGGGTGATAAAGGCTGTAGGGAGGTGTTTGGGGAGGATGGAAGAGAAACTGACTCGTCTTTGCTGGGGGGATGAGCCAGTGCTGGAGGCATTTGAGCTGGGCCTTGAAATTGGGATCCTCCCTGCCGACCAGGGGGAGACTTGCATCTTTGGGGAGTGTTGTGCAGTAAATCACCGGCAGCGGGGCCACGTGGGGATGAAGTCAGGGGGACACCGAGAGGAGATTAGACTCGAAGGTCTGTCTGGGTCTCGCAGCGAAGGGCCTTCGTGGGTCATGCGGACATCAGACCTTCTAAAGGTGGAGGGGAGACACTGAACTGTTCTGTGTTGTAGATAGATCACTGTGGCAGCAATATGGAGGATGGATTGGAAGGTCAAAGTTGCAGAGAGACACTGGGTAGAACAGGGTTAGACTATCACAGGAAAGAATGTTTGAGGACCTCACCTGTGGGGTTAGAGAAGAGGGTTGGATTAGAAAGTTCCTAAAATGGAAGTTCTGTGCCTCCGAACTCACTTGGGCATTTGGGTCTTCCCCTGCCTCCTGCCCCCGGCTCCTAGTTGATTACCTTGATTGCTTACTTGTGCTCCATTCTAGGGGTGCTGTTACCCGTTTGGGTTTTGGCCCTATTCAGTCTCCCTGGTTGTCAGTTGTGTCCACCCAGCACTTTAGGGGAGACTGCAGCACCTTGGAGGCCAGCTGGTAGGAAACTGTACTGTGTCCCAGAGTCCTCCCCACTCCCACCCAGGCCTCGACTCCCCTCTCTCCTCTGGCATCGTCCTCAAGTCCCCAGATTGGAAATGTCCACTGCACCATTTCCATCACTCTTTCCAAGAGGAGGAATGAGACACTATGTCTCATGGGAAGATGTTGACAAGCGGGGGACTAGAAAAATGGATTAAAGGGACCCTGGGATGGTGGTCTCGGAGAGAACCGAAGGTGAACTACAGGGCAGTCCCACAGAGTGACCCAACACATCTGAGCCCCTTGATTTAAATTTAGATCAGTTCTGTGATCTTAAAACCAGAAGTGTGTGTCTTCTCCTAATCCCGTCCCAGGCTAGGGATACAAGCACTGCCCCTTCTCGCTCGACTTGTTCGTTCAACTGTCGTCCCATGATTCTTGGGCCGATAGATTTTGGCAGCCAGCCAGCAAACAGGTTGTTGCACCTACTCTGTTCCCACCTCATGCTGGCTTGGATAGGATACAGACAACCCCTGCTCTGTGCTCAAGGAATCAGGAGACCGGTATTTTAGTCTAGTTGGGAAGGCAAGATGCATGGGAGAAACAGCCAGAGAGCAGAAAAGGTGAGTAGTTAAGAGGGTGGTTAAGGTTTGAGTGACGTGCTGCAAGTCCACAGAGCCTGAAGAAGGACAGAGCAGATGGTGCCAGGGCAGGAACCAGCCCAGAGCTAGCTGGCGGTCTAAGCTGATCCCAGCCAGGCTCAGTCTGAGGTGGGGGGCCAAGGTGGACTTGCTGCTGCCCTCGCAGGGAGCTGTTCACGCTGTTTCCTCAGTCTGCATCTTCCTACTTGTCAAGATTCTCCATTCATCCTTCAAGGCCCAGCTTCATTTTTCATGAAGACTCTTCCCTTCCACCAGCCAGCATGGTGCTGATCTTCCACAGCCCTTTCCTGATAACTTCCATCTTGTTGTATATTTGTGGTGAGCAAGAGTTTAGCAGATTCCATTCTCCCCAGTGTACGGGTTTGATAAAATCAGTTCTTTAAAAGCAATCCTAAAACCGGAAGGGGGAAGTGGCTGCTTTCTGGGGCCAGTTTCTGGCAGGGGACACACGGTGAAATGCAGGGTCACTGTAAGCTGGACTTGTGTGGCCACACAAGAGAAGGGCATCCAGTGGTCTCTCGGTCTTGACCTTTCAGGACCAAAGGGACAACAGGAGGGTGTAAGTGGCAAGAATGCCCTCCCTTAGCTTATGGAAAGGGTCTTGGAATCAGGAGAGTTGGGGACTAGTCCTGATTCCAGTTTTGGCGACGATATACTTGCCTTATGGACCGTCTGGGATTGTTCTGTGAACCAAATGAGGTAAGAAATATGTGAGTTCTTTGGAAAGTATCAAGTGTTACTAGAATAGGAGGCATCATTGTGTTTTCTTCTTATTCCTGATTCCCTACCTCTCCTCCATTCTTTCTGTGAAGAAACTCTTAAGTCACCAGCGGCTCGGGCCAGCTGGGAGGGGCCTGGCCCGTCTCTGCTGACTTCTCATGTAGGCCCAAAGACTAGCTCCAATGCCGAAGGATGTGGTTTTTTGGCTTCCAGACCAGGTAACTCTGGGTAAGTCACTTCAGCTCTCTATGCCTCCGTATCCTCATGTGTAAACGGGAGGTGATAATGTGCTCCTCCCACCTCCTAGGGCTCCTGGGAGGATCAGCCGAGACCGTGAATGTGACAGCGCCTTGTAAACTGTAAAGGTCTATCCAAATGCTATAGATTTACTTTTTATTTATTTATTTATTTATTTAAAAAGGTTTTATTTATTTATTTGACAGAGAGAGACAGCTAGAGAGGGAACACAAGCAGGCTCCTGGCCGAGCAGGGATGCAGGGCTCGATCCCAGGACCCTGGGATTGTGACCTGAGCTGAAGGCAGTCGCTTAACAACTGAGCCACCCAGGCACCCCTGGATTTACTTTTTAATCCGTGCTTGAGGTCTCTGGATGGAACTTGCCAAGACTGTTGCACATCTAGACAGTGACATCATATGCATGTTATTGGCGCCCAGGGTGGGGCACAGAAGGCTGCCCCAGAG